TCGCCCTCAGTCGCCTGGTTATTCTGTACAATAGTATGGCGGGGGACTGCAGGACAAGAGGCAGATTGACGTCAGGACAAGAGGCAGGGTGACGTCAGGATAAGAAGTTGGGTGACGTCGGGACAAGAGGCACAGTGACGTCAGGGCAAGAATCAGAGTAACATCAGTACAAGAGGCAGGGTGACGTCATAACAAGAGGCACGATGACGTCAGGATAAAGAGACAGGATGATGTCAGCACAAGAATCAGAGTAACATCAGTACAAGAGGCAGGGTGACGTCACAACAAGAAGCAGGGTGACGTCATACGCCCGCTAATGTGGCTGGTTATGGAAAGTTCATGAAAAAGAGATGACCACCAAATCGTCAGTTTTAATTAGATGGTCACCATTATCGAATCTCTCTTAGAACTTCAAAGGCGATAAATGTTTCGTTAAACTGTAAAAAAAAACAATTCAAAGTATCAAGAAATCTCGCGTGTAAAGTAAGTACTGTATGTGTCATGGACGAGGCCACGGGAGTGTGTCCATAATGTCTCGCTAAGTCTTTCGAGGACAAAAATAACACACATACACTATAATGGATATTGATATACACATTTTCAGTATTCGTGTATAATACTATTTTTATATTGGTGGGGAGTTGTCGATGGTTGTGTTATACTCTTAAGTGTATTAATTTCTGCGTCTATGAAGAGTCACCAACTTGTATACTACAATTGGCGTGGATGAGATTCATAACTAGTATCTTCATGAGGAACTATGATACCTATGAGTGTTACCAGTATGACTTATGAAGAATCACCGAAGACTTACTCCTTTCTTCATTACACGTTCGCTGATACCTTGCAGTGTACGAGTTGACACACACACACACACACAGGCCCCCCGAGTGGATCAAGGCGGACAGGTCAGTTATCTTCCCGTGGTTCCGGTGTTTCGGATCGAACCCCCCTACCCAAATGACGTTATTATTGTAACTTCTTCACGTAGGCCTTCATGATGTCATATTTATTTACTGATGATGTAAACCCTTATGACGTTATATCATTACTTTATGACCTAAAACACTAATGACCTCACATTGTTATTCTTTATCCAACAGTCATATACAGTATAGACTGCAGGGTGTCCACATTGAAATGAAACCCCTTTGGAGCCTTATAAATGTTTTGCTGAATAACGCACACAAAGAAAAATCCACACAGCTCATAGTCAGTATGTTTGAGTTTCATCTGGTGTGTGGGTACATATCAGTCAGGTACATTAGGTTACGTCAGGGTAGACATACAACACGTGCACCTTTTGTAGCACAGAGTAGGTCACAATGGTACGCAATTTCTTTCCACACGGTTTTTAACATTCGAGAATCACGGAGGCCGCCACCGCCGCTATGATGCTCTCTAGCAGTTGAACATGGACTCGCTGATGCGGTACTGGTGCGGCGGATGGATTTCTTGAAAGGCTTGTGTGGATGGCATCACGTATTGGCTTCACTATCCTCCGATGTTCTGGGCTGTTTTAGAACACTGTCAGTCTCCTCAAATTACTTCATCCAGCATGTGTACAGGTCTTCGTGTTGGTGGTTCCTCGCCAAACGGTGTACGGAATCGTCGTTGCATCAGGGTAGGTAACTTCAATTCGGCCATCTATAACACACATATCGCCTTTTCGTGTGGTGTCATCATAATTCAATCTAAAACTTTAAACTAAGAAACTCTGTTATATGGTGTGGTAAATAAGTTTCAACATCCTCACATGTGTACCTAAAAATTCATAAGGCTTCAATATGGACACCCTGAACTTTATTCCATAATGCGCCCATTACACGCGGGCCCTAGTGCATCACAGTACAGCAGCCTGAAGCGACAAGTTAGAGTACAGATACAACAATAGGAGCCAGAGTGCACCTACTGTAGCATCATGGCGAGGTGAAGTACCAAGGTAGTAAGTACCATAGTAAAAGCCACACGACTCATCCAAGTTTAGAATATGACTCAGCAGGCAGGTGACTCACCAACAGGAGTCGGGGTCACGACACACTCCAAGATGTCTTCTTTCCCGGCCCTCAAAAATAACCTGAAATAATTACCAGAAAAACAGCCAAACACGTTCTCTCAGCAGTGGCCTCAACAAAATATTAATAATGAAAGAAATTGTTTCAGTGGCAGAGAAAGTGTTGAACACTATTTTCAGATAATGAAAAACAAAATATACCAGATGACTGACATAAAATTACGGCAGTACTGTTCTTGTGAGGCGACATGAGAATCTGTAAATACTGTAAGGTGGTCCAGCCCGGAGTGAGGAGGAGGTCCAGCCCGAAGTGTGAGGAGGAGGTCCAGCCCGGAGTGTGAGGAGGAGGTCCAGCCCGGAGTGTGAGGAAGAGGTCCAGCCTGGAGTGTGAGGAGGAGGTCCAGCCCGGAGTGTGAGAGGGAGGTTCAGTGGGTTACTCCACCACCTTGGCAGGATGCTAGTCCACCAAAGGGTTGCTCCACCACGGACAAGCACACCTGACAGTGTACTCATATACTACAGAGTGTACAAGGAGGAAAGCCGATTCTTGACTCGAGTCTATAATAATAATAATAATAATGATAATAATAATAATAATAATAATAATAATAATAATAATAATAATAATAATAATAATAATCTTATCTCAGAGGTATGAGATAATTATCACTACGGAAATTTATAATAACTTATGTCAGACCTGGAGCCTCGCGTTACGTAAACTTAACCTAAACCTAACTTAATTTACCCGTAACTTAATCTAATCTAACCTACCCCTAACCTAACCTTGTGTAATTTCATCTACCCCTATGTTATTGGAAATGAAACTGCTACTAACTGTAGTCTTTCTAATTTAACCCTAACCGAATTTTACTGAAACTATCCCTGATTTAACCTGACCTAACTTACCACCTAACATAATTTAATTAAAGTTTTCCTAATTCAAATCTAATATAACCTAACTTATCCTTAATATAATGCAACTTAAATGCCATTAACCTGTCCTAACTTAACCGTAAATTCGTGTAATGTAACTTCAAAGTACAAATTGGTCCATAAGCCTGACAGACCATTAATGACAGTGTTGTAATAGTAATAAGTTGGCACTGTACTCGACCGCTTTCACATACACATCAGTAAAATCAGGTACCTATTTAAAACTGGGTGGACTGGGGGTGTCTTGGTTATCGAACTTAAGGAAATACATAGTCGCTTAACCTACTTAATTTAACTTAGCCTAACTTTAACTTAACCTAATTTGACACATCACCTAAAATAACTTGGCTTACTCCAAACATAACCACTGATGTAACCTTATTTAACATAGCATAACCTAACTCAACTTAACCTAACTTAGCTTAACTTGCCCTCTGGTTACTTAATTAACGTAAGCTAACTTAACAAAACTTAACCTTACCTACTTTAACTTACCCCAAAGTAACCTAAGTGTAATGCAGCCTAACTTAACCCAACCTAATGCAAATTGTCACCAGTCTGACTAAGTCTTCCCTAGCTTAACTTACCCTAACTTAACTTACCATAACTTAACTTAACCTAACTTAACTTCGCCCATTTACATAACCTAATCTAATCCCATATCAATCAATATTAATGTAATCTAATTAAATACAACTTCTCCAGACTTACCCTAAATTGACATTACCTCTCGCCAACCTAACCTAACCCTAACCAAACTTAACTTAACCTAACTATACTTAACCTAACCAAACTTAACCTAACCAAACTTAACCTAACTTAACCAATCGGGTCTATTTGAAAATTAATGAAAGTTCAAGCCGGAGATTAGTCAGACCATCCCTTACAAACATTAACAGTGGCCCTAACAATAACTTAACGCCGGTAAAGAGTTAATAGCAATTAAGGGAATTACGGTGCGACAGTATCATCACCTTGCTGTTGGAAAGTCCGATGGTTCTTCTCCTCCCGACGGTGACGGGTGGCTGTTGTCGTGCTCTCAAGTCATTTCCCGTGCGTGGTAAATGTACGTGTGTGTGTGTGTGTGTGTGAGGATGAGTGTGCGAAGGAGTGTGGTAAAAGAGTATGGGAGAATGTGTGGAAGAGAGGGCGTGTAAGGTCGTGCTAACAGGTCATTCAGGAGGGTGTTTGTAAGGGCATGCGGAAAAAGCAGCAGGGAGGGCGTGTGGAGTGTTCATCAGGGAAGGCGCGCGGATAGCAGCGAGGGCGTGACAGAGCGTGCAGATAGGTCATCAGCGAGGGCGTGTGTTAAGGCACGAGAACAGGTAAGTAGGGAGGGCGTGTGAGGGGGGCGCGCCGGCAGGTCGACAGGGAAGATATGTATTAAGGCGTGTAGAAAGATCAGTGAGGAAGGCGTGTGTGAAGGCGCGCGGATAGATGAGCAGGGAGGGCGTGTGGACAGGTGAGGAGGGCGCGGGTGTGGTCGTAAATTACCTTGAGCCAGGTGAATCACTACACCGGAATGCTTGATATTCCTGCCACTTTTTATCGCCATTAACATACCTCTTAATTAACAGAAGTCATTTTTACTCCTGTTGTCATTACTTCTAGTTTTACCTGCTTGGCTTAAAACAATACTAATGAGTAAACATAATAAAGTGTTGCTGAATTATGAGTCACTCGAAAATATATATTTCAAGATTATTGATGACGATTAACGTAACATTTATCAGTTATCAAAAGTAACTCAATGTTGTTGTTGTCGTTCCTTGTAGTTGAAAGGTAAGGAAGATAAACAAATATGTGCGAGAGACTTTAATAAGACATTGCTTACTTGTGTTGGTCACGAGGATGAGTTTCCGCTCTTGAGTTGTGTTAGGTTGTGTGTGTGTGGGGGGGACAATTATCACCTGGGTGAGGGAGGCGTTGGTGGTAGGGTGGCGGCGGCGGCGGTGTGTGGCGCCGCCACCAGTGCTCGGGTTGGCGGGCCGCCGCACGGGGGGTGGAGAGCTTCGGCCCGCCCACCGCGCCTCCCTCAGGTGCGCCACTGCTTCCACCTTATACACAACCCTTTATGACGACCATTTACTGCATTTCTCTTACATATAGTGACTGAAAATAGTGTTAGAATGTGCAAATACGCGTGCAGGATACAGCACTTATAATTGCGAAGAAAGGTAAAGAGGGATTTGGTGGTGGCGTAGTGCGGGGAGCGGCCGCCAGATGGGGTCGGGTCCAGCTGGAGTTGAGAGAGTGAGGCGGGCTAGGCAGCGCCAGTCCGAGGCTGTGACCCCCAGTGACTAGGCGGGACCTCCGACCGCTCCCAGCCTGTCCGCACTTGGTCTCCACTTCTCGTAAGTACACTTCGTCTGAGTTTGTGTCAGGGGGTGTTGAAGATAGAGGCATGGCCCCTGAGAGGCTTAGGCTGGCGGGAGGAACAGTAATACCTGTGTTGTGTGTCGTGGTGTTGAGTGAGTCTGGTCCGCGTTCCATGTCGGTGGGGGGTGGTGGTAGTAAGGTTAGGTGCATCGGTGGTGGCCCGACGCAGGTAACAGCTCCCAACACCACCCACCAACATTTTCAAACATCGACTGCCACTATACCACCGTCTGCCAGCATCTCCTGCCACACAGGTTAGCAAACTTACAGTATCGCTATCCTTCCTGGTGGATAGAAATACAATTTGGTGGTTAAATCGCTCGTTTAGAAAGGATTAAATATTGGGGATTTCGCTGAGGGGAGTTTAGTGCCGTGTGTGGGGTGCCAGGGAGCCGCACTTGATGCCACCTGTAGTGCCACCAGCCCCCTGCTCGCCCCTACCTGCACCTTCCACCTAAACCGGTTCTGGGTCCTCCCTGACCAGTTAACAGGTGATTTAACCGCTAAGCCGCCCCGCACCGCCGGTACTCAGCTCCCCGCACCCCGCCGCCCTGCCTGCTGTCCTGCCCAGCCTGCACTTACCTGTCCTGCACCACCTACACTTACCTGTCCTTCACCACCGACACTTACCTGTCTTGCACCACCCACACTTACCTGTTCTGCACCACCCACACTTACCTGTTCTGCACCTACACTTACCTGTCCTGCACCACCTACACTTACCTGTCCTGCACCACCTACACTTACCTGTCCTGCACCACCTACACTTACCTGTCCTGCACCACCTACACTTACCTGTCCTGCACCACCTACACTTACCTGTCCTGCACCACCTACACTTACCTGTCCTGCACCACCCACTTACCTGCACCACCTACACTTACCTGCCCTGCACCACCTGCACCACCTACACTTACCTGCACCACCTACACTTACCTGTCCTGCACCACCTACACTTACCTGTCCTGCACCACCTACACTTACCTGTCCTGCACCACCTACACTGCACCACCTACACTTACCTGCCCTGCACCACCTACACTTACCTGTCCTGCACCACCTACACTTACCTGCCCTGCACCACCTACACTTACCTGTCCTGCACCACCTACACTTACCTGCCCTGCACCACCTACACTTACCTGCCCTGCACCACCTTCACTTACCTGTCATGCTCAGCCTGTAATTGCCTGTCCTTCACCTATACCCTCTAGGGGGGGGGGGATGAGTGAACTAAGATCATCCCCTATCTTCTGTGATCATACTCATCTCACTCCCAGTCGTCCGTGATCATATTCCTCTCACTCCCAGTCGTCCGTGATCATACTCATCTCACCTCCAACTTCACCGCCTCCCAGTTATCCAGTCGTTGTCATCAGCGTTTTAAAACCAGAAAAAAAAGGTAGATGCACGACACTTTACGTAATTTCAGATTATTAGAATGTAAGTCTCCATTACCTTAAGTTTAACAGCCAATAAGTACAGGAATCGTGTGACCTGGGCGTTTTGTGGAGTTACTCGAGGATATTTTGACACCCTCCCTTACCCACCCACCCGTTATTACTGATATCGAGGATTATAATTAATTAAAATTTTCTCGTTATCTACATGTTATTACCAGTCGTTTAATGAGAACTTAAAATTAGGGGAATCGTTAGTTTTTTTTTTCCCATTTCCGTGATTTTTTTTTTTTTTTTATTAATGGAACTTCTTAGTGGTGTTAGTTAATGACGGTGTTTGGGCTCTGGAGATCATGAGGTTAGGTTTTGGGTGTTCTTTTAGTGTTATGCAAATTATGAGTGATTTGCCTTATATAATGATACTACAGACAAACCCACGCACACAACCATGTAAGTGAAATACTGACCTTTATGCGTGTTAGTAGAGTATATATACAGTATATACTATATTCGAATTATACACCAGACAGGAAGCACATACCTAGGGTGCTTAAATAATATGCATTGTAGAACGTTCACACACACACACACACAGACATTGCCCTTACTGCTACACTGTCTCTTCAGCACCAGCGAAAATGCAGTGGACAGTATACAGTGAAAAAACATACATTACACAAATTTAAATAACAATATTCATATATTAGTGACAAATACATCATCTTTGTATTCAGTGCAGTGAAAGATATGTGCAGTAGTTCCCGTTACAGAAAAGACTACTGTAACTATACCCACCAGTGAAAAATACAAGATGCCTTACATTGAAAAATACATAATAAATTACATAGAAAAATACATATTTATTTACTTTGAAAATACATAACAGTTTACATAGAAAAATACATAATACTTTACACTGAAAATACAAAATGCATTACATAGACAAATACATAACATTTTACATTGAAAAATACGTTATACAAATTTAGTGCAAAAATATGTTCTTACTGACAGTGCTCACTACCTCATGCCATGCAGTAAGATGTGGTATACAGACAATAGTATACAATATTATACAGTGAATACATTATACACGTTAAACGACAAAATTCATTAAATTTGTTATACATGGAAGATACGTATTGAAATTATACATGAAAAATCCATTATACATATCATGCAGCGAAAATACAGTATACTTGTACATATTCAAGAAAATATTATACATGCTCTTCAAAGAATACACAAATAACATGAAAACATATAATTCACGTTATACATTGGGTATACATAGTTCAAAATGTAGTGAAGATACAGACAGTGCATACAAAATTGATTAAGGTTGTTCATGTTATACACCCAGGATACATAATGTCATACAATGAATAATACAGTTTTTGTAGTATACAGTGGATAGATCAATGCTGTGCCATGAATAAGTCAATACTATACAATGGGATTATTCATCATTTGTTATACAACGGAAGTAAACATTTTAAAATGAGTAATATTCGATTCTGGTGTTGTAATTAATACGATTATATTAATTTAGTAATATACAGTAATTGATATACAGTTATGCATAATTTAATACATGCAGACACAGGGTGTAATACATACCGGTGATAAATATACATACGTTTGTTAAAAGTGAGAAAATATAGTGTATAATGAATATTTTTAAAGTGAAAACAACACCATATTAGTTAACAAGTGAAAAATTATTAATTTATGTTTTACAGTACATCAAACATATACATCATTCATAAGTGATAGTTTTAACGTGAATACTCTACAGTGAAAAAATACAATCCAGTATTCATGGTATACACAGAAAACATTATGCATTGTTCATGTATGCATTACAGTGCAATAATCACTATTCAGGCCATACATCACTAAAAACTGAATGTTGTAGTGTGAAAAATACAAAGTTATAGTTACAGAAACCTAAATAATAGCTCCGTGAAAAATAAAAAAAATGGTTCGAAATCAACAAAAATCTGAAGTTGAAAATACGAGTCATGTAACAGTAGCATTACAGAATAAACGGTTGAAAATACAAACTTACTTAGTTTAGGAATACAAGAGAACAGAGTGAACAGTACAAAATAACAGTGAAAAATATACAATAGTCTAAAAATAAAAAAAAATAAATACGCAGGAAAATATAACAAAAACTACAAAATAACAATCCAACGATACAAAGAAATAGTGAATAATACAAAAAAAGTGAAAATACAAAATCATACACAGCTAACAACACATAAATGAAAAAATACAAAATAGTGAAAAATACGAAATGAAGACCGTTCAAAATACATAAATATACATTACTGTAGTACACCTTCCACAGTGAAAATACAAAATAACATACAGTAACAAAAACACATAAATCATACTACAGGGTGAAACAATACAAAATAAAACCGTGTTACAATAAATACAAAATAATACACAATGGAAAAAAAATGAGTTTACAAGAAATACATAACACCTTAATTACAGTGACTACACAGGTCTAAGAGTTGAAGTGTGTCATCGAGGTATTTTGGGAACTGGTTTTGATCTGGAGCACAACAGGTCTCTCTCTCTCTCTCTCTCTCTCTCTCTCTCTCTCTCTATCTCGGTTATCTTGCGTTCGGTTTGTTGTTGTTGTTGTTGTTGCCCCAGATTTAATGTGTGGCAGCTATGTTACAAGTCCAGAATTTGTCACTATTATTGATCTGTTGGGGTAAGGCATTTAGTGAGGGGACTGTTTGTGTTTTTTGTATTTTTTTTTTGTGATGTAATTTCTTGTTGCTTAAGAGTCCATGGACATTTGACTAAACATGATAGACTATTTCACTTATATATCTAACCTAACCTAACCTAACCTAACCTGATAGTATTAATATATATCAACGTTTGTGTTTTTGTTCATGGTATATTTTTTGGTGAGGATAGAAATGTCACTTGTTGAAATTTACTATCGTTTTCTTAATTATTATTTTTTTTATTTATTTAATATTTTCTGATGTGAAATTTAAGTTCATGTATTTTTGGAACTGTTTCGTCAAGGTGGTTCGGAAGTTCAGAGTTATATTAAAATATTTTGGTATAATTCTGTTGGTTTATGGCACAGAATATTACATAGCCATCTCTCTCTCTCTCCTCTCCTCCCCCCTCCCTCCCTCCCTCCCTCCCTCCCTCCCTCCCTCCCTCCCTCCCTCATTTTCCTCCCTCCTCTCCCCCATTTTCCCTCCCTCTCCCTCCCTTCTTCCCTCCACTTGCGGTAGACCAGGAATATAATCCCTCCAGAAAAAAAAAATTAAATCCCGTTTTGTTGTTGGTTTTTTGCGGGTTTGTACTCTCTCAGGTATTGGGTTTCTCCAGGTGATCTCATTAATTATGCAGCCATCAGATATGCAGGTAGATCTCAACCCTTATTCAGACGCGCCTCTGGTCGCTGTGTTTACATGAGAGGAAGCTTTCTTAGGCGCCCTACGACACCCTTAACACTGATTTCGCATTAAGTAAGGGATACGGTCTGAGGTCTTGAGGGTGTAGACTAGAAAAGCTTTATATCGGGTATTCATATTCTCTTAATAGATAGTGAGTCTGTAGTGTTAGTCTGTGGTCTTGATGTAGTGAGTCTGTGGTCTTAATGAAAATTAGTTTGTGGTCTTGATAGAGTAAATTAGTTGTTTTAATATAGTGATTTATATTTTTTTACAATAACGATTCATTGGTGTTTGATCCATATTGGCCTAGAAAAATCCGTACACGTGTGACCAATAATCTCACCTTAGTTCATTAGAAACCTTACAGTTAACTAAGGTCTTTAAAACTATTACAATTATCCCACCAGACACCCAGTAATTACCAACACCGTCTTGGTACAAACTTACATTAATACCTGTAAGTCATCCAGGTATAAACATCCATTAATACCTGTAATAAATTAGTAAGTCATCCAGGTATAAACATCCATTAATACCTGTAATAAATTAGTAAGTCATCCAGGTATAAACATCCATTAATATCTGTAATCTGATATTAACTACTATGATTACCTGTAGTATACTAGTAACGTCTCACCTGCTCATCATCGTGTAAGGATTGTTCAGTGTTGTAAACATGTGTTGTATGTTTAATACCTTTTAATATACACAGTATGTACAGTGTATATTTGTATTCAGGTTCATTTATTGTATTGACAACTACTGTATCTTACATAATATTTGTTCATTTTTGTATTGTCTATATTTCAAAGAAGTTACAGTAATTGATAAAAGGATAATATTTTCTTCAAATTGTTTTTCGCTTAGGATAATATTATATGTATATAGTATTATGTTGTGTGTGTATCGGCGAAGATTTAACATTGTATATTATATTATATTTTCAGCACTATAATACTTACGATAATTTGCGTAATATAAAATCTATAATTAGTTATAGTGTGAGTCATGCCGTGTTTTAGAACTGATACCAACATTATATTAAAATAATTTCCTCAGCGGCCGCCATCAATAACGATATATTACACCAGGTGAAATTATGTGGTATAATGGTGCGGTATACTGACCAGGTCACCTGTTGGGGAAAACTTGGAACCTTAATTATTGTATCAGGTTCTTAGTGTGCTCAGAAGGTGCTGATATTTTGGTGTTCCTGCGCAGTTTCGATCGATATTTTAGTGTTCATGCGCAGTTTATCGCGATAGTGTGGTGCTCATGCGCAGTTTATCGCGATAGTGTGGTGTTCATGCTCAGTTTATCGCGGTATTGTGGTGCCCATGAGTAGTTTATCGCGATAGTGTGGTGCTATGTGCAGTTTATCGCGGTAATGTGGTACACATGCGTAGTTTATCCCGATATTGTGGTACTCCTACCAGTTTATCCCGATATTGTGGTACTCATGCGCAGTTTATCCCTATATTGTGGTGGTCATGCGCAGTTTATCCCGATATTGTGGTGCTCCTGCGCAGTTTCGCCCGATTATGTGGTTATCATGGGTAGTTAATCTCGAAATTGTGGTGTTCTTGTGTAGTCTTACCGATAGAATGGTGCTCTCGTGCAGTTTAGACAGGTATTGTGGTGTTCCTGTGTAATTTATTCCGACATCGTAATGTTCTCGCGCAGTAAATTTCGATATTTTTCTCTGCGCAGTAAATCCTCATTTATTGGTGCTCCTGCTCAGTGGATCCCGATATTCTGATTTACCTGAGCAGTCATTCACAAATGTGTGTCTGTGTGTCTGTCTGTCTGTCTGCCTGTCTGTCTGTCTGTCTGTCTTGACGGGTATTTGTTTTCATTCTCACGTACACATATACGTATAAACTCAAAAGGTTAATTTCGTATGATTATCCACATAATTATTATTTTTAATATATTTTTTTTTACTTATTTTTCGATGACTTTAATTCAGCCATGTTGTTTATGGTTCCAGGAGTCGAATAAGGGATGGTCGTGATGGCATCCAGGCGAGATGAGGTAAGTGTCTGATTGTCAATTGTTTTTTTGTTTTTTTATTTCTCTACAGTGTCAGTCTTCTTGTAATGTAATTCTTTTATTGATTTTTTTATTTGTTTGGTTTGTTATTATTATGAATATTTTATTATTATTATTTTTATTATTATTGACTATATTTTTCCTATTTCGTCACATAATTTGCATACAATAAATATTCAAGAAGAAACGTGAGTATTTACACCACACGCCCACCCTCTTCCTCACCCATGGTCGTACACCCACTACCTCCCTCCACCTCGTAACTACAAGAGTAAGGAAGCTATCCCAGACGACCGTTCGCCCAACCTACTGCTTACACTGGCGCTCAGAGTATAGATGTCACAACCCTCATGTTGTCAATCACTCGTCTTTCAATAATTTTTTTTTCTATTGCGTGTCTGAGGATCATGGCTGAATTACTCCACCTTGTGTGAGCTCCAAGCCTCGACTGTCACAAGTATAAGTTCCCGCTCAGCTTCCCCCCCCCCCCACACACACACACACACATACATACACACACACACACACATACATACACACATACATACATACATACATACACACACCAGAGGCAGGTTCAAGATGTGTCCACTGTGTATATGAGAGAGATGGAAGGATAAATAGAGCAAAAGAGATAAGCAGACAGAATAACAGTTAGACGTGGAGAGAGAAACTGATAAATCTATGTACATAATAATAATTTATAATGGTGAAACAATATCGACTATTATTAAGGTTATAATCATATAACACCACTATTCATATTAATAATAATGGTAATAATCGTGTAATCGCAGTTGCAATGAATTAACATAACAAAAACAAGATGTTCTCTCTCTTATATAAATGGTAACAAATCTCTATTGGAGTCATTACTTTATATTTAGTGATAATAATATAGTACAAGATATCCATTCTCGTAATAATAATAATATAATAATAATAATAATAATGATAATAATAATAATAATAATAATAATAATAATAATAATAATTTACTTTTATAGACAATCGATTAAATTTTCAATTATATAAAAACAATTATAATTACCTTATTATGATGATGGTATTATTGGTTTTATTATTTTTTTATTGGTATTATTTTTGTTTGGGTAAAAATTATCGTCTCGCAATATTATTTAAGAACTAAATCAAGAGCATTACTTTTGTTTCGTTATGATTTAGCTCTGAGCGGTGTGTGTGTGTGTGTGTGTGTGTGTGTGTGTGTGTGTGTGTGTGTGTGTGTGTAGAAAAAATACAAAAAAAAAACATCAGTATTAGCAATACCTAATTTAACTTTATCTTATTATTTATAGAGGTTAACATCATCACAAATGAAATAGTTAAATTTTTACAGTACCCGGTATTATGTATGAACTGATTAACATAGTTGTAACACATGAATATTATCCCTTTTACAATATAATCCACCGTGTTATAAACCAGAGTTGGATTATCGCTTCTTTAACAAATACTGATTGTGTTAAGTCTCTCTCTCTCTCTCTCTCTCTCTCTCTCTCTCTCTCTCTCTTATTCTTGTTTTATCTCTCCTGCTCTCTCACTCTTACCTCTCCTCCAACACCCACCCACCCTTAAACCTCTCCCCCAACCAGCCACCTCCCCCCCACCATCTCCCCAACACCCCCAACACCACTCACCTCTCCCCCCAACACCACCCACCCCTCCCCAACACCACCCACCTCTCCCCCAGCACCACCCACCTCTCCCCAACCCACCCACCTCTCCCCAACACCACCCACCTCTCCCCAACACCACCACCTCTCCCCAACACCACCCACCTCTCAACACCACTCACCTCTCCCCCAACACCACTCACCTCTCCCCCAACACCACCTCCACCTCTCTAACACCAACACCACTCCCAACACCACCCACCTCCTCCCCAACACCACCCACCTCTCCCCCAACCACCCACCTCTCCCCAACACCACCCACCTACCCACACCACCACCTCTCCCCCAACACCACCCACCTCTCCCCAACACCACCCACCAACACCACCCACCTCTCCCCCAACACCACCAACACTCCCCCAACACTCTCCCCCAACACCACCACCTCTCCCCCCAACACCACCCTCTCTCCCCCCAACACCACCCACCTCTCCCCAACACCACCCACCACACCACCCCACCTCCACCACCTACTCCCCTCCTCTACCCCCTCCCCCCACCGACCTCCCCCCACCTACCTCTCCCTCACCCCTCAACACCCGTCTCTCCCTCCAACACCCACCTCCTCCACCCACCTCCTCCTCCAACCCACCTCCTCCACACCCACCTGTCAACCTCCCACCTCCTCCCCAACACCCACCTCCTCCTCCAAACACCCTTTCCCCCAAACGCCACCTCCCCCTTCAACACCCACCTCCTCCAACACCCACCTCCCTCCAACACCCCACCTCCTCCTCCAACACCCACCTCCTCCTCCAACAGCCTCACCTCCTCCAACACCCACTTTCCCAAACGCCACCTCCCTCCGACACACCCCCAAACCCCCACCTCCTCCTCCAACACCCACCTCCCCTCCAACACCAACCTCCTTTACCCCCTCCTCCATCATTCCCTCCCTCCCTCCCTCTTTCATATCCTGTTTCTTGGGTGATAATTTTTTGTACAGGTAAGCAGACAGATGAAGGAAACAGGTGTGGGCGGACTTTACTTCACGCCCATAAGAGGAACATTGCCTTCGTCTCTCTTATCTCTCTATTATCTTTATTGGTAATCAACTAATAAGTATGATAAGATTATTAATATATATATTTTTTATTTACTATCAATCGTTACTATTGATGATTCTATTAACAATTTTAAGAACATTGAGTTTGGGTAATGTTTTTGTTCTCGTTTTTGTTCCTTTGTTGTTGTTGTTTTTTTTTCTTTCTGCGGGAGGGGTGTGAAAGGATGTGGTTATTTAACTCAGGTGACTTCATTATATTATTACGTCTATTACTAAACTTTCCTGGTTTATAACAGTAACTTCTGATAACTAAATGAGATCATCTTTGTATTTATGTCTTTTGTTATTTTTATATACAGTCGTGGATGTGATTTTAACGCACCTCAAACACACTACCACACCTCCAATACACTCACGCACCCCTAACACACTCACGCACCCCTAACACACTCTTGGCAATTATAACACCCACGCACCTCTAATACACTCGCGTACCTCTTAATACACTCACGCACCCCTTAATATACTCACGCACCTCTTAATACACTCAGGCACCTCTTAATACACTCAGGCACCCGTAACACACTCACGCACCTCTTAATACACACCCACGCACCCCCTAATATACTCCCGCACCTCTACACTCAGCACCCCTAGCACACTCAGGCACCCCCCTAACACACTCCCAGGCACCCCTAACACACTAACACACCCCACACACCCTAACACACTCGGGCACCCGTAACACACTCACGCACCTCTTAAAACACTCAGGCACCCCTAACACACTCTAACACACTAACACACTCAGGCACCCCTAACACACACTCAGGCACCCCTAACACTCAGGCACCCCTAACACACTCAGGCACCCCTAACACACTCAGGCACCCTAACACACTCCACCTCTAACACACACACACACCCCTAACACACTCGCGCACCTCTAACACACTCGCGCACCTCTAACACACTCACGCACCCCTAACACAATCACGCACCTCTTAATACACTCATGCACCCCTAACACACTCACGCACCTCTAATACACTCGCGCACCACTAACAAACTTGCAGGTTTAACAATTTTTTTCATAATAAACTCTTTTCACTTTAATAATATAATTTTCTGCGGAATTTTTGAAAAGCATCTGGTGAGGTGAATATTGGGAGAGGTGTTGGTGTTTGGTGGAGTGGGTGTTGGTGTTTGGTGGAGTGGGTTTTGGTATTTGGTGGAGTGGGTGTTGGTGTTTGGTGTCTGGGGGAGTGGGTGTTGGTGTTTGGGGAGTGGGTGTTGGGGGAGAGGTGGGGGTTAGGAGGGAGAAGGGAGTGAGATTTGGAGGAGAATGGTAGGAGCAAGGGAACGGAGGTGACTTTCATTTAAATATAAAAAAAAAACTCAAAGTTTTCGTTCGTTGTTTTTGATGTGATATTGTCACGAGGGGTGGTCGTTACAAGGTGCGCCCGAATTCTGCGTTCTCTCTCTTCACCTACAGTATGGTGGCGACTGTTCAAGAGACAACATGGCGTATTGTAGTATGCTCAGAGGAAACTTCTTGACGGTACAACTTAAATTTGGTCGTGAATACCAAAAAATTCGCCCGACTATAAAACAACTTGTCATTTGTATCAAGTCCAAAGACAAGGGAGGCCACAGCTAGACCTCGTTTGTTAGAGTACGTTGTTGACCATACCAGACAGTAGTGTAAACGGTCCCCCAGGAAATCAACTTGGCGTCGTAGTTTACTGCTCGGAATACCAATAACTTCGGTCCATAATGTTTGACATCAACGATTAAGACTTTCGGCTAACCAAAATCCAGGTAAACCTAAAACTAAACCAGCAGATCGTCCTTAGCCAAAGTAATATGCAATGTTTTTCTCAGTAAAATTGAGGATATATTTAATTTCCTGAATCAGAATATTTCTCTGGTGAAGCTACTTCTAGTATACCGCAAATGTTGCCGTAAAATTTAAATATTGTTATATACGCGTCCCCGAGAGTCTTCTGTTGTAGCGAAAAAGTGCGTCAAACTCAGAAGTTAATGTTTGGTGTACTGTAGACTAATGTATAATCGCGTTATCTTAAATTTTGTCGGACAAACAATTAAATACCAGAATTATAATTTATTTAGGTTTCCACAAATTGATGACATCGAATTTGAAAACGGAATGCTAGTGATTTTTCAACAAGTTGGCGGTCCTTCGTATACCATGATCGAGAGGCATTTTAAGACAAATTCTTCGGCCGCTGGATTGGAATAGTTGGTCCAATAAATCTAGT